TTCCAAGATTGTATTGTATATTTCTAGGAAGGAATGCGTCAAAAAAAGTGGACTGGTCACGATTGAACTCATTAAAAATGTGGATTGAAAGTTTAAGCTGGAATAACTGACTAATATTAGGGAAGCTATGTTTTAGAAAAAACGGCGTTGTGTGGTCGGTGCGCTGAAGATTTTCAATACAACGTACTGCTCTTTTTTGCAAAACAAACAGTCTATCAATATTTGTCTTAGTCGTTGAACCGCAGACTAGTAGACAGTAATGAAGGTGGGAATGAACTAGTGAATAATACAACTGACGTCTTAACCAGCCTGGGACAAGTGTTCTTATTTTGTATAAAATGCCAATAGATCTATAGATGCTTGCATGAATTTTATTTACATGTGGAGTCCAGCTTAAATTTTCTTCGAAGAGAATTCCCAAAAATTTGTAGGTAGTGACACGCTCTATCGGAGAGTCTTGGAATTTTAAAATAATTTCGCAGTCATCCGGTTTACTTCGCGGCTTAAAAATTATATATTTAGTTTTTGTAACATTTAACTGAAGCTGATTGGAGTCTAGCCAGGACGATAACTCGCTCAGCCATGTATTAGCAGAAATTTCAAGATCACGCAGACATGGGCCAGAGAAAAATAAGCTAGTGTCGTCGGCACGCAAAACTATTTCAGGAGTTTTAGGTATACGTACGATATCATTAATATAAATAATAAAAAAGAGAGGACCTAAAATAGACCCTTGTGTGACACCGTACGAAATTTGTTCTAACTTGGACCTGTAGCCATTAAGACTAGTATATTGTAGTCGACAAGATAAGTAGCTACGAACTAAATCTAAAGCAACACCTCTTATTCCATAAAACGGTAATTTATAGAACAAACAATCATGTTTAATCGAATCAAAGGCCTTTCTGAAATCCAGAAACATTCCAATAGTGAAATGTTTGTTTTCAAAATTATTAAGTATTTTTTCTTTGATGCTAAGTAGAGCCATTTCGGTTGACTTATTCTCCGTAAAACCGTATTGCTGAATAACAAAAGCATTTCTTTCACTAAGAAACTTTGAAAACCGTTTTTTTTATAAGAAATTCTAGAACCTTTGAAAACAAAGGAAGTACAGAAATAGGCCTATAGTTGTTAATGTTGTCAAAGGAGCCTCCTTTGTGTAGAACAGCCACTCTTGCAATTTTCATGCCATCAGGAAAAATGCCCGTTGCTAATGCGTTATTGCATATATGCTGCAGAGGAAAACACAAGAGGTCTGCGACAGCTATAATTGGTATAGCCTTGATGTCATCCTCTCCAGCTGCAGTGTTTGTAGATAAAGATTTAAGGATTGAATATCTTTCTTGTTCATTGCTTGGAGCCAAGAAAATAGTGTCGACAGCTACAGATGAAATATATTTGTCTAAGCTTTCGTTCGGACCATGTGGCTGCAATGACGCACCTGCGTTTAAAAAATGGGAGTTAAATTTGTCTGCCAGTAAGGCATCGTTATACTCAATACCATTTAGAGTTAATGTATCGGGAATCTTACTCTTGTGTTTTCCAATTAGACTTCCTACTGCACCCCCAAAGCTTTTTTGGTTCATTGAAATAGATGCAAACTTGTTTTTATAGTACTCAATACGTGCTTTCTTGAGGTCCTTATTTAATTTATTTCTCATTTGTTTATATTTAATTAATATTGTCTGGTCCCTTAGTCGAATAAATTTATCGCAGAGTTTGTTACGTTCATTAATCCTTTTATACAGCTCGCGAGTAACCCACGGCTTCCTAGACTTCTTGCGATTTATTATAGGTCGAAGAGGAAACGCTTCAGTGTAAATGTGCTTTATTTTATGCAAAAATATGTCGTAACACAAATTTAGGTTTTCTTCATTATAAACGTCATCAAAACTGGTATTCTCTATCATGTCCCGGAAAAGAGCAAGAGCATTCACGCCGAAATTGCGTCGCAGTACAGGAGGGTCACGGATGTTACACTTTTTCTTTTTGACCAGAAAAAAAAAACAACAATATATTGGCAAATGATCACTTAGATCGAATGTAAGAATACCCGAGACATCATCCTTTGGGTCAGAGCTAGTAACACACAAGTCGATCAAAGTTTAACTTTCAGACGCTAGCCTTGTTAGTGAATGAATGACGTTTGAGCAACTAAAAGATTCAATGACATCAAGAAAACGTCGGCAGGAACGAGTAGATGACAGCAAATCAATCTTGAAGTCACCAACTAAGACAATTGGCAAATTGAGACATGACACGTAGTCTAGAATTTCATTTACAAACTAAAAAAATTCATTTATATCGCCCGATGGGGGCCGATAAACTGAAGCAATCAGTGACCCAAGGCACCTTACAACAACCGACTCAGAGTGGTCACTCATCTGCGTAAATTCGGCCAAGACTACATACTCAAGGTTATTTTTAAAATAAAGCGAGGTCCCTCCTCCCTTGCGATTTCTTCAGTAAACCCTTTCAGATTTATATCCTGCGAGATTGACTACGTCGTGTTCACTCGAAAACCACGTTTCAGTAAATGCCAATAAATCGAAACTGTGATCTAAAAAATCCAAGGCTGTTTCTATTTCAAACCATTTATTTTGTAAGCTTCTTATGTTGATATGAAAGATTGACATCTTATCACTTCGAAGCAGAAAAGGATCGTCCACAACAGAGTTAAATGACGTGCTGTCAAGATAAACAGTTACTGGTGGTTCTGCCATCACAAAAATACAAATAAATGAAGCTTCTAACTTTCACTGATTCAGCAGATCTTATCTAAATCAGCCTCACACTCAATGACGATTGCGCGTTCGCCCGCTGCCTTACGCACAAACAAGAGACCATTCTTCTGCCAGGCAAACTGGTACTGTTTTTCCTCAGCCTTAACCCTCATCAGCCAAAGCAACTTCTTATTCTGCGGTGTCAGGTTATCGAGGAAATACACGTTGGATTCGATATTCTTTAGAAGACCCCTTTTTGCCTTCCACTGGTCACGTGTAATGCGCGACACGAAGCGAATGAGTACGGCCGGAGTTTTGCCTGGCTTTGAAAACAGCCTGTGAATGCCTTCTAGTTCGTTTTGTGACAGTTCTGGTAGTTGCAGTTCAGTTGCTAGCTCGTTTATCTTATTCAGTAGGTTTTCGTTGTCAGTTTGTGGCAATTCATGTATTTCGAGACTCTGTCGCCTACTGTACTGCTCCAGGCTGTTGACTTGTATTCTTAGTTTCTGAATTTCCTGGCCAACATTATCAGCCTCGATCTTCTCCTCTTTTTTTTTTCAGGGTTGCAATCTCAGTGGATTGGCGTTTCATTTCTTTAAGAACTTCGCCGTACTGTTCATACATATGTTGAACGGACTGTTCCAGCTTGTTTACGGTCTCTTTTACCAACATCAATTCATCAACTTTGCACCTGATTACTGGTAATTCCGTTAGTTTCTTATTGATTTCCATGAGAACCTTCTCAAGGGCAGCTTGTTCGGGTTTCTGCTTTACAGCACCCTCGGCCCCGCGAGCTTTCGAAGTTTCGCATGTTTGGCATTTCCATTTACTTTTATCGACATCCCCTTTGGCTTTGTAGGTTGTCTTAGACACACCAGAGCACGAGCCGATGTGGTAACTGTAGTCGCATTCCAAGCATGTTAAAAACACTCCATTTTCAGGGAGTGACTTAAGACATACCAGGCCATCGGAATCAGCCATTGTAAGCTAGACAGAGAACAGCACAACGCTACAATAGCAATAGCAACAGCAACAGCGGCGGCGGCGAGTGGGCAGTAACCATAAACGCAGTATACAGCGAAGTGTACCAACCTGCAAATTTCGAAGACAGCGGTTAGTCTCAGGCCGCTGTCACTGCCGCCACCGCCGCTGAGCAAGTGGCTTGGATCCCGGAGAAATGCGCCTTTTAACGGCGCTAGGTGACTTCAGGTGCAGGCTTGAGGCCTTCGTTGCGATGATGATGATAAGGCCTTCGTTGCGATGATGATAAAGTGCTCCTGGCGTTGATAACAGTACGGCGCTTCAGCGAAGTCTGCAAATTTCGAAGACAGCTGTTAGTCTCAGGCCGCTGTCACTGCCGCCACCGCCGCTGAGCAAGTCTTGCCGTGTATTATTCCGTCGCTCTACAGGGGCGCTAAACTCGTCAAACACAAAGTTTGGGCCCAAGTTCACGGAACGCACTGATTGGACTATCCCGACGATGACTTGGCGCTTTTTTCGTCGACATCCAATCGGCGCGCTCCGCGAACTTTTAGCTCCAACTTTGTGTTCGACGTGTTTAGGGCCCCAGGTTGGCGTGATTTTCGCCCCAAAAAAATCGCGACTGAAAACATAGTTATGTTTCCCTTCTCGCGCCACGCACACGTAGATCCACGTGAATGCCGGCTTTGCTCGAATCAGAGCTTCCATAACTCTCTTTTACAATGCTTACTAAATTTTCATATTGCCATACTCTCTCTTGTTGCTTGTGAAGATGACCTACCGCGATTGGGCACGGGCTAGTCACGGTTTCACGTGATCATACGCAAAGTCGTGATAGGCTGGCGCCTGGTTGAATTGGGCCATTTTCCAGATGCCTCGTACGCCCTTCGCACGTTTTTTTCGGGCATGTGTACGCCTTCACGTGGTCGCCCAAATGTTATCACCTCTTCAGTTAAAAAAAAGAAAAAAAAACTGCAATGACGTTATTTTATAGTCAGTGATGACGTGAAATCGGTTCTGCAGGCGTGCGTGCAACGAATCACCAAAAAGTGGTTCCAGCAGGGCATGGGAAATGTACCAGGCTGGAAGCTCATGTGCATTAGGCTCTGGAGGGAATATACCGAGACGATGCCCTACCTAAAAAAAAAAAAAAAAAAAAAACAGTATAACTTTTCGTTAACTGGATTATGGAACAGAAAATGAGACCGAATTCCTTGCTGAAAACTGAGATACAGTTTGTTGACTATTTTTTGCAAACTGGATTACAGGTTTCCAGCAAGAAGTCCAGTTAGATTTCTTGTTCCATAATCCAAATAGCGCAAAGTTATACTGATTTCTTTCTCGGTATGGTGGACTTACCTACTGATATCTAGATGGCCGGTATCTGTAGCAAAAGAAATGAGAGAACAAGAAAAAAACATGGCATGTCCATCTCAGCAAGGAGATATTGCATGCGGACGAGATTGCGGCGCTTACTGCTATCTGACTCATCCTGATGATGCATAATAACTGGCGCTATCAATACACACCTGCTGCTGTCGTACGCACTTAAGTTATAATCACTATTGCATGCTCGTGCATTTGGTGAATGATTTAAAAGCCGCCAGGTGTACACGCCCAGAAAACGAGAACATCATCTAGCGCAGGTAGTTGAGAAAGAAGTGTGGAAGCCAATCTCATTCAAATGATCCCAAAACGCGGATATAAAATATGCCTATTGCAAAGAGCGAAAGTATGCAGGTAAGCTGGTTAGATCCTAATCTGAACCCTGAGATTAGAAGAAATGAAATAACTGACAAGGCGGCTTGACTCAAGGTTTTAGGTTAAGACAGGCCTTATCAGATACCCAGGTTCACGGCTCTTCAGTTTGTACGCCATGTATCATTGCCAGTTCAATGTCTCGCGGCGACGAAGCACCTCCTGTATCTTTCTGTCGTTGCTTGGTTGTTTCCGCTTATGATGTCTATGACTGGGCATGTTTGACGTTCCGCCGAGTATTGAGCATGTCTGGATGCGTGTGAAAGCAGTGTTCAAGGTTTCCTTGTGTTCATTCCAGTTTGGGATGGTGGCTGCATTATGGATGATATGGATATCCGCTTCCACTTTGCTCGCAACGTGCGGTGTGATCTGGGTGTTGAAGCGGCGATACCGCCATGGATTTTTCAAGCGTCTAGGCATCCCTGGTCCGGAGCCCGATCTCCTTTTTGGCAACTGGCAGCAGCTCAGAAAAGACAGAATCAATGTGAGTCCCTGACTTCAGCCATTATTTGCTGTCGCCTGAATTAGATCTTATGTTAGATTTAATTCAAGCCAATAACCAAGTTTCAGGTAAGCAAAAAGAAAACGCGAGTGCAAACAATATGGAGAAGATTAAATACGGTAAATTTACCCAACACAGGCTTTTTCTAAAGGATGACAAAAATACGGAGAAGTGGCAATCACAGCTGAGTTTTATGGAACAGAAGGGTCCTGTGTGTAGTCGTTACACAACAAAAAATAGAAAAGAAAAACACGAAGATATCATTTGCGTGATTACACAACTGTGAAAAGGGAAATATACTTGTGAAAGCAGTTTTTCTTTCGCTTTTTTTTTGTCTTTGAGGTACGTTTTCTATTTAAGGGTCCGATCTGTTCATTAAACTTGTGCTGTGTCCGAGACATATTTTTGTTTTGTTGTCGTCTCTTAGAAACTACGGATCTGGTAAAGTCAAGTTGCACAGTCATAGGACGAATCTTTTTTTTTTTTTTTTTTTTCCTGGAGAACTTTATTTTTTATATTTTCTAAAACTGATCCTACAGCATCATTAAACCACCTGAACAGTTTTAGAGCGTTTGTTTGTTTTTTAATTGTTCTTTTGCCATTCTCTTGTGACACAAAGGGCGTCAAATTTTGCCTTCTTCAGTTTATGCGTATATTTCTTCTACACACAGAAAACCGGTAACCAAGATAGCTTTTTGCCACAGTTATTTGAAGGAATTTTGAGTAAGTTTTTCACACCTGGCGCACTCTTCACACGTATACTCCACTCTCAAGTTATCACCTGTTTCCCTGCACTCGATCGTGTCTGGTCTATTGTTTTCCTTTTTTTTTTTTTTACTATACTATATTTCTCTCGTTTTGCCCAAACAGGTCATGGAGGATTGGATTCAAAAATACGGAAATATTTTCGGCTACTTCAAGGGGGCGGTTCCTTTCTTCATCATCAGCGACGTAGAGATGATTAAGCAGTGCGTTGTGAAGGAAGCGCAGACTTTCTACGACCGTCCGGAGCCCAGCATCAGCATACAGCCCTACATTCAGACTCTTCTCTTCCTGAAAGGCGAGCAGTCTCAAGCGAGCGGTTATGTACTGTTTACGCGCTGCGAAACAATTACCATTAATACTATTGTCACGTCGCAGGCGCGACAGTATTAAAACATTACAAGAAACGGCTACAAAAAAAAAAAAAACTTTTTAGCGATGTGAGAATAGTAGTTGGAATAGAATACCGCTACCTCATTCAAAGCCTTCACATTGCCAGAAACGAGCACTGTATATCGAACTTTTTTTTTCCGCGTTATATCTAGGGATGACGCTGCGCCAGTCGATTTGAAGCACTATTTGCACACATCTAAAAACGTTTTAACTGAACTTCTTAACAGTTCTTTTTCTCAGCGCAGTCGCATGCTGCCACAGTCAAAAAACGCACGAAATAAATATATAAAAGGATTAAATAAACATAGATAGACAGATTAATTTCCGGTTCTTGCTATACATAATTCCGCCGCTCACTGCAAGGAAACATGTGTCACTGGGCTGTGACTGATGAGCGGAGCAGAAATATTTTGAAGACGATAGCCAATGTGCATGGGTTAAATTAGGTTCACACCCCAGTGAACGAACATGGCAGCTTGCAGAGGGTCATTCGTTTTACCCTAGGTCCGAGTACAGCCGATGTTTCGAGTCGACGGTGCCAATCAACTGGTGCCAAAAACGCGACGTCACCACGTTCGTCGTCTTTATCTGCCTGGGCTGTCGATTGGCAAAGCAATAAAGTATATAGTGCCAGCGCCGCGACCTTCCACTTTTATTATGTGCGTACGTTCTTGTACATCTTCTAGCCGTTAGCTGCGCCCGAATGTATGGTGCAACACATTAGAGTTGAATAGTTACATAGAAATCACATTATAGCTACGCAAGAAAAGAAAAGAAAATGTTCCGCAATCCATTGCAGACGTGTCGTCGCAGTTCTTGTCGGGCGACTTCCGCTCGATCCTTTCTTCTCAAAGTGTTAATGCCTCGACGTCGCGTTAGCTTCACTCTTTTATATCGACGCAGGTGACGAATGGAAGAAAGTGAGGACGTTGATGAACCCCAGCTTCACATCTGCAAAGATGAAGCTGATGACGCGCATCATCAACGCCTGCGCGGACGAGATGCTGGACGTGTTGGGTCGCAAGGCCGAGGAGGAGGCCCCCGTTGATGTGGGCAAGGTCTCCTGCGGATTTTCGCTGGACGTCATCGCCAAGTGCGCTCTCGCCTGGCAGGTACGCGAGGCACTACCTCCGGGAAAATGCGCTCCGAAGAAAGCGCGCCTCTCTCTCCATAGAGAACACGCGGGAACTCAATAACCGAGATTGACGCGGAGATAAATGAACATTTAATTATTCGTGATTTACGTAACGCTGCTACGCCAAGAGGGAATTTTCGCGCGAAAGTGGCGCGGGGGCAGATATACCAACATGCACAAATGTATTTACATATATCGAAGAGTTATTAGATTCCGCTATCAGAGAAGACAAATCATACCTTGGAATCTTGGACAAGAAAACATTTCTCGCAATCAAGTTTATCAAAAAATATTAAGAAGATGTGAATCGAAAGCATTGATACACAATTACCGGCTAATCGATTCGATTCTACAACTGTGTGAGAAACAGAGAGGTGAGTATTTAAAAATATAAGTCCAGACTAAAACAGTAAGTGTCCTAATAATCAACTCCTTTTGGTGACAGCTGACGTAAAACCCTAAGTGCTCGCATTGGCCTCATTCCTGCCGCTCGCAGGGGATTCTTCATTTACTTTCCTTCACTAGATAACCGTGATTATTAGCACTCGCGCTTTCTCTGACTACACCGATATATTGAAAATAAACAAGGTTAGGGTGTCGAGCAGGGACCGAGGAGTACGTAAACCTTCTTTACCGTAAAATAATGTGTGTGGTGAGAGAGGAAGCACGAAGAATATTTATTATGATCACATCATGCCACTATAGTTCGCCACTCCATTTCGCTATAATTCGCCACTCCATTTCTGTCTGACCGCAGGCGGCGCTGCAAACCGATGAGGACAATAAAGCCGCATCGTCATGGCACTCATTGTTTTTGAGCGGTTACTATCACCGACAAGACAAAGCCAACCAGGCACATTAAATCCGACGCCATGTTGCGCATTTTTTATTTTTATTTTTGTAAGCATGTTTGGTTTAGCCGATGATAGCCAATCCACAGAATCGTTACGATGCACTTTTGCTCTGCTACATTGTCTCCATCGGTTTGAAGCGACGCGGCTGCGTTCAGAATTAATATCAAACGGAAGTTCGAGTTGTCCTACCAATCGCAAGACCTCTCTGATTGGCTGCCCGATTGTTTAGCAAGAAGTCACAATCGCAGGGCGAAGCGGGTGGCGAGCCACGCAGTTATCGTCGCTCCACATAAAAAAAAAAATATGCAGATTTCGTTGAAAAGGACGTTGCAGGAGGCATCACTGAGTATAAAGCGCATTACCATCATAAGGCGCTTGCCGCATTTCTTGTAAAGCTGTCATTTGCAATAGACTCACGGGTAAAGAGTATCCAGCGTCGCGTTATCCCGCTACCTGAACCAATGTAGAGTCGTCAAATCTATTTCCAGTTGTTCGTGCATTGCCCAAAATATGTGTTCTTTCGTACGGGCTAGAGTCACCGACGAGGTAAGAATGGCAGGGAGGAGCTTCATTTCTTCCGCCTCTATACTCCGTTTCACCTTATGTTGTACCGCAGAGAAGGCTAGAAGCGCGAGCTCATAGCGTTGGGAGCTGCTTTTAACGCACGAGAGCGTGTGCCGCCGAGATGTGCCCTAGAGCAAGGAGCTCGCGCTTGTAGCCTTCTCTGTGGTACAACATTAGGTGAAACAGAGTATAGCGAGAGCTTCCTACTCTCGTCAGAGCATCGGCATCTCGTTCACACCGAGCGCGCTCGCGCCGCCAAAACACTGCCTAAAGCGTGTTTTACATGCAGCGGTTTTGGCCCTAGAGCGGCGCGATTTCTGCCGTCGCGGCGCTCTGGCCAGCACCAGCGGTTGAGTGGCACGAGCGCCACGACGGCAGAAATCGCGCCACTCTAGGGCCAAAATCGCTGCATGTGAAACACGCTTAAGGAATCGGCGATCGCTGGATGCCGGCAGAGCCGCGTATAGGGAGAGTTTGGTCAATGGGAGGCGCGGGCAGAGGCAGGGCGTGCACCAGACGCAGAAAGTGGGCTTGACATGGTCTCTCGGCCAACCAGAAGCCTAAAAGAATCCCCTAGAGGTGGTAGCGAGAAACTGCTTTAATCAAAGGTGTATGTTGATATATGGTTTTAATAAGCTCGTAAGAGTGAAGTGTAGTAACCCTTCATGATTAAAAATAGGGTGCATCTGATGTTTCGATCATGATCATGCAGAAAGATGTTAGAAACGGATGTGTCGCTCAACTCTGTTTTGCTTGGACAGTGTGTGACCACTCGGACGGCAGCATCCAGGCCCTTGTCGTTTGGCGTACGGAATATGTCGACCGTTCCGCTAGTCGCAGCCTTTCACCATGATTTTAGGTGGCAGCAATTGAAACATTACGAGCACCACATTTTTAGTCACCGACAGTTACTCCGACGCAATTATTAAGTTTGTTTGTCGTGACCACCGCCAGGGTATTATTTCCGGCTTCTGGTTTGCTACATTTGAATTTGTGAAGATTCCCCGGAACACGCCCAGCCCTCTTTCGGCCAATGGCGCCTCTTCATTTGTCTCTTATACTTCCCAACGAAAGGCCAAACTCTCTACATATACGGCTCTGGATACCGGGCGTGCGAAAAACACGCCCCGCGCTTCTCACTCTCTTAGCGACTATAGTTTTGATAAATATAGAATCTGACCGTTCAAATGTAGAAAGCACATTGCACATTGATTCAAGGGTTCTTTAGTAGATCGCTGTATTGGAAACAGCCGACCTACGAGCTCTGTCCTCAAAGCGCAACATCTGTCGGTATCGGTTGGAGGATTTCTAGTGGTATGATTACGTACGACACACGCGTACCGGTATAAGCCAGGACTTCCGTAATCGGTGATAACGCCGAGTTAAATCAACAGCACCTCGATAAAAACAAGACCCGTGCTCCGCTTTTCTTCGGCCACTTAAGATTGGGGTCCCACGGGCGCCATCTTGAACAAGGCTGTAGTTCAACCTCCAAGTCGGCGACGCTCATCCGGTCGCGACAGCGCTACTAGAACAACGGTTGGGAAACTGCCACAGAGCCTGCCTTGAAAACGTGGCTCCGATCCGTACTCGAGAACAGAACTAAAGGTGATCGCAACGACTCCATATCTCCCTCGCTGGCCACCCCAGGTGCAGCGCTGCTCAGATATTGGTTCTGGTCGTATCGCTCAAAAGCCGGTGGCGTCATTTTGCAGTCCCATTTCTCAGTTGCCATATAAATCAACTTTCATGCCTTGACTCGTCGCTGAAGGGCGGCGCTTTTATTGTATCCAGTTTGGTCTCGGAGGACGCGAGCGGTCTTGGTTTCAAGGGTGGTTTTCCCACCTGAGTGTTTTAGTAACGTTTCTTCGCGCGCATAAATATTCGCGCACGACACCGGCGTTCCTCCTTCCCGTCTTTATTGCTCGTAGGCTGCGGGACGTGGCTAAGCTCAACTTAGGTTCGAGCTGTCATTCTGCTCAGGATCACGGCGGCCGTGTCTTTCGCGCTACCTTAAATAAGCAGCCTCTATTACAAATAAAAGACTCGATTTTTCTTTATCGTTTGAACTCTTGCGGGGAACAGAACCGTCATTTTTCTCGTAGGGTGGATCGAACAGTTTCGTCCATCTTTTTCTACATACACAAATATAAAAGCCAAGATGCGCGCAGGAATGCTACTTAAACGAAAAGTGCTAACAAGTGTGTTCATATTCATATGGAACCTTTATTAATATAGTGATGAGAACATGTAATACTAAATCGTGTACAGAATGTAATTTGTAAATTGTTCACCACAGTTAACAAATATCAATGTCCACCTTTATTTTTTAACTATAAATTTCAATCACATATCTTCTCCCGAATCTCATTGTAACCATAGCCTTTTTTAAGATATTTTATTAAACCCGCTTTAATGCAGTTCTTTTCATTTAGTCTTCTGTTGCGCGTAAGAACTCATGTTAGGAAGATATCTTATCGGCTGTGCGATCGTGCTTGTGCCACGCACGCCGTTGTACAGAACTTGGGAATTTCCGATATTTCTAGCTATATTCTAATCCTAGCAATGACAGACACTCCAGTGTTATGATGTCGTTATGACCTGACGGCGGAATTTATTTTAGCACACGATACTCAAGGAACTCCGCCGCCATAGTCACAAAAAACTTATAGCAGGAGAAAGCCTGTTTTTGCTCCTCAGAGTGGGTCACCACTGGACGTATGCTTTTATAGCAATCTAGAGTTCCTTAGAAATTATTATTTTAAAATATATAAATTTTTCAATCGGAGCAGGGTGCCATCGGAGAAGGGAGCCATTGGCGCACAAGGCTTCTTCTGTGTGAGCGTATGACTAAGCCTTGCTGATCAAATAGAAACAAAGGTTACAAAGTAATCGAAAAGCGATATTGTGGTAGCCAGTGCTCCATCTACGGGTTTTTTCATAACCGGGAAATTGTGATAACCACTGCACCACTCCAATATTTTTATCACTGTACACCACACCATCCTGTAATTCTGCCTTTTCTATCTGTCTTACAAATGTTCCAAGAACAGGATGTATTCAATCAGAGGTGTTCTAGAGCAGCGGTTCACTATCGTTTGGCAGTTGCGGACCCACTGAGCGACTCAGAGGACATTCAGTGATCTTCACTGCCAACAATACTGGGCGCTTTAAGTCGGCGCTCCATTGCTCCTACTCCGACGCTCCGAGTATCATACTCCGAGCGCAGCAACTAAACGACGCATAGCGTACAGGAGCGCGACACACCGAGGCTGCGTTCCAAACCTACTCGAATGAATCCGAGTTACCCTGGCGGCTTATGTCACGTGTCAACAAAAGTAGTGAAACGCTGGACGCGAGTAGGCTTTCGATAACCACCTTTACCCTAGAGTTAGATCGAGTAAGTTTTGGAAAACGGCCAGAAAGAAACTATCGACTGGCCACACGAGCTCCTTCCGGCCGTGCATGGATACGGGTGGCAGCAGCCGAAAATATTTCGAAGATAAATAATTAGACCCGTGTGGAGCGGCAGAGTCTAAAGCAAAAGAGACGGCGACGTTATGAAGTTTCTACGAACGGTTTAATATTCCTGAAAGGTTTGAAGACTCGCTTCGTGCACATACGTGGAAAGTTAACTTGACAG